GGCATAGTTTAACACTCCTAGTTTATACTAAATTGTAAAGCTTAATCTCTTGTTTCCTGTAGTCATATTTTCCAGGGTATTTTTTTTTAAACAAATAGTTTTAAGCAATGATACCGACACGTTTATACAGAGTAGCACCGATACCGAAACGTGTGTTGGCTGAGTCAAAGAAAGTCTATGTTAAGAAGGAAAGGCTCCATAGACGTAATGTGACTGTTGAACCTGTTTGAACTTCGACATCAGCTTCGAGCTTTGGCGCTTTTTGGATATTTCACACATGTGCAAAATAATTATGGCAGATGTAGAAAAAGTTATGTTTGTCTAGACCTTTATCCGGGCTAAAAATAGCATTCAGTATTGAAAATTAACCTGTGTCCTTCACATATAAGAAGCAGATAACATTTTCGAGACCAAATTTAGGAAAAAAAAGTGTGTCTTATATGCTGCCAAATACGGTAACCACAGGAGGTTTTTTTTTTTTTTTCCATAAAAACAGATTAATTATTTTCTTTTTATTTCTTATTAGAAAAGTTCGTTTGGTATACACCCGATCCTTATTTTTTTATTTTACATGTTAAAAGGTAGATTAGAGAAAGTTAAATATGTACTTTCTTTTATATATTGTTATTATTATCATTAAATTCAGTATGAGTTCTATGGGCAGTAATTGTTAAGGCTACTTGAATAAAATAAAGTTAAAATTTATTTGCTAGGGTTGGTGCATAGACATTTGTGACTATTTTAAAGAGAATGGAAACCAGATTAATTAATTCAATAAATTAAATTTATTTAACTTAATGAATTAAATAAATTAAATTTATTATTAAATTTATTTTGCAGTTAAAATATACAAAAATTTTTTGTAAAGAGGTTTTTTTTTTCAATATAGAATTAGATCATAGAAAAAGATTGTCAAAATACTGAAATCGGAGAATAATAATATAAAAGGAAAATTTAGAAAATTAATATTGGTTAAATTATGATTTATTTTATAAAATACAAAGGTAAAACATATATACTAATGAAAATATTTGCATAATTTAATATTTTGCATATCAATTTTGCACCACTGTCCAACGTTTTCAATAGAAACTGAATTTTCAGATTCATCACTGTCTACAAAGGAATCCGAGAAATTCTCATCAGTTTCGCTATAATTGGCTACATTATACTTGAAATCAGAGTCAAAACTAATATCAGTGTCAGAAATATCATCAGGAATATAGGTTATATTACTCGCGAAACACTTCCTGCCAGACGTCTTTGAGCTCTGAAAAGCGCACGCAAAATGCTACATTACGTATTCTTGTATATTTGGCAGAAATGTGGACAACTATTGCCAACTGTCAGCCCACATCTAAATAAACAATTAAACATCACATGAAACCCAAAAGGAAACCTTGAACGGTGGAAAGAGCAGGTTGTACAGTTAAATGGATGGCAAAAATTCATCCCCACGGAAAACGTGGGTTGCGCAAATTTTGCTACTTCTACGTTGCTCGTGGAAATCGTGGAATGCACAGCGAGAGGGTTAATCACATCGTTTAGTTTTCTAGAAGGCTCTAATTTCTAGCTTTATTTAAAATAAAATATTGTATTGTGCGTTTTATTTATTGCAGTTACTAAAATATATTTATGTATAAAACATACAGTATCCAATAATTCATTAACTAGACAATTCTGTAAAATACATGCAGTATCTGAATATTGTATATATTGTAATGTTACTAAACGTTGCATATAGTAATCAAATTTGATAAAAATAATGATAAGTTGAGAAAAATAATACTTTTTTGAAATTTTAATAACTATATAAACATTACTGATAATCAATCACATTTTCTAATGGCTTCTTGAGAAGATCAAATTTATCTAGAAATCTAAATTATCATCTTACCAAAGAGAGACATTGTATATTAATAGAAAAACTGGAACGTAATTAGTTCTAATAATTATTCAAGATCTGCTACATTTTTCTTAATTTCTTTCTTCTTCTTTTTTTTTCATTTAATGAAAAAAATTAAAAGTATCTAAAAAACTAGGCATATTAGTGTCTAAGTGGGTATATCTACCACATGTTGATAGTTTGAGCCTGATTCAAATCTTGGCAAACAGACTGTCTGCATGGACATTTTTGTTGTTTTCCCTATGTGTAAGCTAGTTTCTTACAGAAATGTCCTGTGGGAAGGTATCTGTACCTACTCTCATATTCTTAATCATAACTGACTAAACAATTTCCGACAAGTGTAATTTTGTTGTGATCTGTACCACCTGCACAAGTAGCAATAAAAGTTACATTTTCCAGGGAATCATGAAACAGTTTTTACTGACATTTCAAATTACCATGTAAAGTAATAACCTAAAATTTGATGAAACTGAAAAAAGAGGTAGTAAAAGTCATTTCTCAGATTATTTTTAAATTTTAAAAAGTGGAAGTTGTTAAAATATGCAGTTCCATGAAGTGCATCTTTTCATGCTGCAAATCATCATGATTTTTTTACAAACTGGAAAATTGCTGTTCTTTTGTTTTAATTAATTTTAATATGTTTATTTATCTTAACTTTTAGTTTATCTTATATGCCAACTGTATAAAACCTGAATTTACTTTTGATTCACAAAATCAGTTTTCTTAAATTCTTTTCATTCTTAATGTAGTTCAAACTTTTAAAAATATTGTTAGTTATCTTTATCTTTAAATTAAAATGTTTAACATATTGTACTAGTAAAAATGAGTGAATGAAACTTCACTGAAAATAGAATTAATTGTTAGTAAAAAGAAACTGAATAGTGCAATACATAGATTTTTCCTTATCACTTTTAATCATCTCTCAATTTTGAAATCACTGCCAAATATTTTTAAAATTTAAACTTACATTTACCTTCGAATGTTTTAATCAAGGTTCTTATTGTCTTTTGAAATATGTCGAAAAATATTTACTTTAAAATAGTATGCAGATTTTATAGGTTATAATTTGAAAAATATTTTTGAGAAATAATACATAAGAATTATTTAAAATTTAAACTAAAAAATAATTGTGTAAAACTGTATGAATTGTATTGCCTCTAAAGATGTTAAAAATTACTTGATCTACTAAGTATAATTTCAGATTATATGGTAAAAAGGCAAAAAAATCTTATTAAAAAACAATATTAATATATGATAAGCAATATTATCAAATATAAACCAAATTCAGTTAACATTAATGATTTAAATTTTTTGAAATATGCTTTTAAAAGATTTAATATTGTGATTTTTTTTATAAAACTTATAAAATGGCATAATTTTGAGTCTAGAATTAAAATATGGGGAAAAATTGGTATGTTATTTCAGAAAAAGTCTGATTTCTTGCTAGTGGCCATTTTTTTATTACATTGCATTGTATAAGTGTAATATAACTATATCCCAAGGCATTCTTTTAAGATATGAAAAATAGAAGTTGAATTTTACCAATCAGCCAACTAAAATGTGTGAAATAAAACACTCTCACCTGTTTTTTTTTTTTTTTTTTTTTTTATCTTACTTTACATGTGTAATCTATATATTGTTGCATGCGTAAGGGTTCATAATAAATTGAATGCACAAGTCTGATGAAATGTGAATAAAATTTATTCTTATCACAACAAATAAAAATAAATTGCTTAAATTTCTTTACCTTATCTTTTAAACTACTAAAACGTTCAACAGAACTTAATTCAAAACAGAGAAAGCTAAACCGATTTCACTGCGAATTTGCTACAGTAAACAACAACAGTTATCCAAACAACAACTGAATTGAGAGGTTTTCCCCCAGGTTTTATAAGCTTTTAAAATCATGCACAAGAATCTTCTTGTATTTTCTCGACTTTTATGGATAGCAAAAGAGTACAGTTATGAGATATATATTATTAAAATGTTAAATGCGCGTGCTCCTGTAGTTTAATTTTGCCAGCGTAGCTTTCTCTTCAATTAAGTCTCGTGCTGCATTGCATGGGAATTTAAAACAACTTTAATCATAATTCTACTAAACATAGCAAATTAAATACAAATCTGTAACAATATATGTAAAAGGAAGAGTCTGTCTGTCTGTGTCTTTCATTCGTGCTGTGCGTAAGCCAAAAATTTGGTATATAGGTGCATCTAGACAAGAGCCAGTGCACCTCAAAGTGATTTTTTCAAAATTCGAATGAGTTTTTTTTTTTTTTAAATTTTATGTTTTTTGATGAAATCGCATCAAATAGATAATTCTCTCTCATTATATCAGCAACAACAAATACACAGACATTGTTTCTGATATCAGCACTGTTGCCACTTGGAAAAATAAGGGCGATAATTCTGAGTAGTTTTCAAATTTAATGTTTCTCTTGGATACTGGACGTTTGTGGAGAGAAGGCAAGGGGAAATTGGTTAATTTATTTATTAGGATAATCAATATTTAAGAGATATTACTTATTTCATTGCAATATTTTTATATGTAATACACTTTTATTGAAAGTTTTTTTTAAATTTTTTTTTTATATATATATATATATATATAAATTTGTTCTGTAGAGGGAAATTCTGTGCAGTTTTTTAAATTTAATGTTTGGTAATACACTTTTATTGAAAGTTTTTTTTTTTTTTTTTTTTTTTTTTTTTTTTTTTTTTTGGTAAATTTGTTCTGTAAAGGGAAATTATGTGCAGCTTTTAAATTTAATGTTTGGTGTTCCCTTTAGGCATTTTTCTGCTACGTTTAAAAGCCAGATGAAGGCTAGCCACTTAATGGCTAGTATGAAATATTTGTAATTTCAAATTTTTGTAATTTTAATTTCAAAAGTATACATTTTGAAGCATTTTTTAAATAGACTTTTTTTAAAAAAATTATAGCAATCATTTTCTAAATTTTTAAAGGCATAAGTGAAGTACCAAATGCTCATTTATTTCCCGCTAATATTGCAAGAATTTTTTTTTTTTTTTTTGTTGTGTGTGTGTGTGTGTGTGTGTGTTTGTTTTTTGTAATAGAAATAAAATTTTCAAATTTGATATGTTTAGGTTTTTGGGATCTTCAGGCCAGAATATCAAAGACATAAGAGCATATAGCAAACTCTCTGATGCTTTAGATATAATGGAAAAAACATTGGATTGGGGCCACCTTTGTCCAACAGCTCCTGACACTTTGAGTGAGTTTTAAAAATTTCTTGACTTAATTATGTTAGTTTTGACTAATAATGAAGTAATCTGTTTTGATCGCAGAAGAATCTTTGATGACAATCTCATCAAATTTTGGGGCTTGAATTTATTTGCCTTGCTACCCGCTAATAGCTAATTTTCAAATGGTCAAATGGCCTACCATTTAACTGGTAGGAGAACTTTAATTTAGGGTTGGAACTTTTAAGGATAGTCAACTCTGTCTTAAAAAAAATGAATTTTATGGAACGATAGAAAAATTATTATCACAAACCTTCAGTGGAAAACTAAACTATCTTCAGAAAATATAAAAAATGAAAAGAATATTGCATAGAATAACAGCAGTGACAGCAAATGACACCATAATGATTTATAATTTTATTCCTTCAAGTCTAATAATGTTTGTTCTTCCATTATTTATAGTATATTGCTTTTGTTTGCAGTTCTCACTTAATGTAACCAAATGAACTTATTCTACAGATTAAAGTGCTCTGAAATACAGATAGATTGTTAATACAGTACAAAGTCCTAAATCCGGACCCCCATTATCTAGTCTGATCTAAAATCTGGACCTCAAAGCCACCAAGAATGTTTTTCTCGTAGGCTTTATACCTTGTTATTGAATAAACAATCATTTTAGCATAAATTTGTATGATCAGTAATTTGGCTCCGTTGCTGCATATATGCTTGGCACACATCTCAAAACAAAACATTCCACATAGATACATCGTTGATCTGATGCCAACCTGGCGAATAATTATTTATTATACTTTCCTTTCATCACCACATGTTCATCAAAATATGATAACTTGAGTAATGACTCATGTAGCGATGCCTAAACAATTTTTTTATGTTAGTAATTGAATAATAAAAGAGTATGCTAACCTTTTATGTTGACATTACGTTTGACGATGATGACAGATGTTACAGTTAAATGCGCTAAAACATGTTCACGATTAAAAATTTAGCAAAACTTTCTTTGCGTATGCTAAAAATAGATTTTGTTAATGATACACATAGATCCAAAGATTTAGGGCTATTTAAATTAAGAATAACTGATTCAGAAGCAACGCCCAGAACCAACGCCAGGGCTCATATGGCTGCACCAAGTTGCAGAACTTAGGACCCACAGAGACTGCATCAGGCGGTAAGATATCTAGCGCCGGCCCTCAATAAGGCTTAAGTATATGTGGGAATTTATTTATTCAGAATGCTGATAAGCCTTAAGCATGTGCAAGTAATAGACACTATAATAAATAACTAAATTAATACAATTCAGACTTACCTGTCTTAGTGCGTGATAGAAGCAAGATAAAATTTAACGCAAGAACTTATCGTTAGCTGCCAAGCTCATGATGCATAGCCAAATATGTATAGTGAAGGATAGCTAAATTTGATGATGATAGCCACTAATTTTAAAGGTTTTTGGATATCGCAAAACAAAGTTGAAATTTTCCAATTAATGGATTTTGTAAAGAAATGTGGAAAAGCAATAATAAATGAAGATGATATAAAAGAAGTTTTTCTTTGTGATGACAATGCATCTCAATTATCAATCAGTTAATGAATGGCGAAATCTGTAGTATGGTTCTAAATCCAGGAAATACCACTACCGAAAGTGACAGAGAATTTACTGAAAAAGAGAACATTTTGATTGACAAGTTGGAATTCACGAAACAGCAGTTACAGGACTTCAACAATGTAACTGAACAAGAGATTATGTTTGTCTATAGAATTGAAGAGAAAGTATTAGCACAAAAAATGAAGCAACTTAAACAACTTACATTGAAAGAAATGTTTAATAAGGTAAACAAATAAACATCAAGCTTTTTTTTTTTTTTTTTTTTTTTTTTTTTTAAATTTTGATACCTTTAGCTCATAAATAATTCATTATTTCATAAATCACGATTTAATATTTTTAATTTTATAATTTCTACACACCCTCTTACTAGATTTAAACTGATGATCGAATTTCTAGAAAAATCCCAAACCCGGAATCGCCGAAGTTCTAACGAGTCCAGATTTCGGACTTTGTACTGTAAAATTTTCTGTTAATTGCAATTTGGATTATTCCTTTTTCCTGTGTTTTTTAAATTTCCTTTTTATTAAGCAGGTTTTGAGTTAACTGTGGAATCTCCTGCAGTATTAATATGGTTAATCAGGAGTTAACTATATAGTTAAATGATATAATTTAAAATTTATATAAATTATAATATGGCCAAATGTAGTTTTTTTTTAATGCTGAAAGCATATGTGATAGTGTATTTGGTACAGAAACATTTAGAAAATCCATGAAAATAAACAGTATTGCTTTTTCTCTATTGTAAATAATAACAGGATATTGCTTTAGGGTTTTTTTTTTTAACCTCCTTTTACTTCTTTGTACGAAGAAAAAAGGATGTATTGTAAACACAAAAAATTTCGGGTATCGTATTTAAACAAAAATATCCATTTTGACCGCTATCAAATGCAATTTAATGATGTTTTTGTATGACATTTCTATGTCGGGACTGAATAAAGGACTCGGTTTCCCCTCAAAAATTATAAAACTGATTTAAATGAATTCTGAACAGATTTTTTTCGTGGCATCTGTACGATGTATGAATCTCACGTAACTCAAAAATGAGTAGCCTCAGAACGTTGAAATTTTGTATATAGGACTACTATAAAACGTAGATATGCACCTCCCATTTTGATTGCAATCGGCCGCACCAAAAGTGTTACTCGGCTCAGTGAGCTCAGTTTCTTTATTCTTATATGTTTGTAAGTTGTGCATTTTTTGCTTTAAAAATAATTGAATTATGTTGTTCTGGTTAAGATTTTTATGCCTTTAGTTAATCTGCATGCAGTAATTGTGGAATTATCAACAATTTAAAAGTTTTTTAAGTGTGGCTAAGAATAATTTTTTATTACCATAGCCTCCATATAAGTTTACATTTGAAACTTAGCAGAATAGTGGATTTGTTGCCAATTTAGAGAAACTAAGCTTTACAACAAGAAAGTAACATCTTCTTTTATTTTTGCAAATTAAATTATGCTTAATTCATTCTGGAATTATCATTTAAGTTATTAGCTTGTTTTTGCATAGAAAGTGTAAAAATTGTTATTTTAATTGTACATGGTGTTTTATGTTTTTCTATATCTTTCAATTTTTAATGAAAATGCTTTGAATTTTTATGTATTTTTGCCTTGCCGCGAAGTGAGAACTAAATATAATTAGTAGTGCATGCACATTAGGTAATCGGCACTGAATCATATGCAAAAAAACTGTTTCTTTTTTATTTGTTTAATTTCTTTTATGCATCATTTTAGATTTATTAAAGTATTTGAATAAAACTTGTGGTAATTCTTCAGATGATATAATTTTTTTGCACTCTGAGTTTTAAAATGAATGAGATTAAACGCCGTTTAGCTATTGGAATGATCATTAATGCAATGTTAGAATAATTCGGCTATATAATGGTCATTGATGGGTGTAATATCTGGGGTTTGGGGGGAGGGAGGGAGTCTCAGGGCCCAATGATTCACACTCTGGGATTCCCAGACTAATCACAAACATCACCAAGTCCTTCCTGGCTAGTAGACACTTACTTCGTCGTTCACATATCAGGCACAAATTCTACTCCCTGTCCCATCCCATCAGGGCCAGTGTCCCACAAGGGTCCCTTCTAGGGCCCACCTACTTTAATATCTATGTGAATGACATCCCACACATGACACAACCATTGCAATGTATGCAGATGATACAGCGATCCTTGTCCAAAGTGCATTTTCTGGTTCAGTCATCCAACGGTTACAAAGTTACATACACTTACTAGAGACTTAGCTCATTAAGTGGAAAATACAAGTAAATGTGGACAAAACGCAGGCCATCATGTTCACAAGGAAACAGAAATTCAAGAAAAATGTCTCATTTTATGGAACATCAATCCCCTGGGCCAAGCAACTCCCTTACCTCTGGGTGACCCCTACTAAAACTCTCTCATGGACCCCACATCACAGCTATCATACAGAAGTTTCGAGCTCGTAAAGCTAGATTGTTCCGGTTTGACTATAAACTTTCACTATGCCGATGTTCTGGTTTGATTAGAAACAAACTTTTCTCTGGCTCGTAATGGCAACAGTGAGAACTTGACTTTCGATTTGTTATGACGCAGCTAGAACGCTGCTCATGAGATGTAATATTAGATTCGATTAATTTGTTTAGTATTTAATAAATCTTTAAAACTAGATTGAGTATTTGATCATAGAATTATAACTGAACCACCGCTTGCAGAAATTTAGATACGTCGTTAGATTCATAGATAGATAAATCGTTGATTCGATTAGTGTACATTAGTGCGTATATAAAAATTTTTTGGTGCTACACACCAGGAAGCTGGCTAATATTCGAAAAGATGGATTGGTAAGTATGGATTAGCATGGTGTGAAGTGTGCGAAGCCTGCAAACAGGTAATATAAGTTTTTTATTTTAAAGTGTAATTATGGTTGATCCTGAGTGTAATTATAAGATCCTGAGCTTAAATCGAAACGCAAAGTATTAAGGACTGCAGAAATTGAGACAGAATTAAGCAAAGATGATGTTAGTATAAATGTAATAGAAGAAACTTTAGACATATTAAACGAAAAAGCAAAACTCTCAAAGATCACAAAGTAATTTAAACACTCAAATAGAACAGTGATTTGAAGGTCGCAGAGGATGAATTTGAGCTTGAAGTTTCACCCGCTCTAGAATATGAAGAAAAAATCCAACTGTGGCAATTTAGAGGAAGAAAAAATTGAAGGAATTACACAAACTCGAAAATTCGGATAAGGGAAGTATGAACATTCCTAATGAAACCGCTATAGATTAATTCCAAACTTGAAAGTAATAAATTTATTCGCCTTCCAAAATTGACTATCTCTAAATTTTTTGGTGATTCTAGCAATTGGCAGGAATTTTGGAGTGAATTCGAGGCAGCTATCCATAACAATGACTCATTATCGAAAGTAA